TACCACAGGGTCCAATAACATTCCAAACATCATTGTTTAAATCTATTTTCCGACCATTACCAACAACCTTTGTAAGTTTTGTAAATAAACTTTGCATGTTAAGCATTTTTAATTTAATAATAAAGAAAATAATAATGATATGATAAATACCATATATTGTTCAAGTTGGGGATATTTGATTCCTTTTGTAGACAAATATTTATTAGTAGATACATGAACAAGGGCAACCTTCGAGCCATATACAATTACTTTGTTCTGAAATTTAAAAAGATTTCAGAATGATCGGCCATAAATTTTCATTGTTACGAAATTCTAAAATATCTTACATAGAAATCTTCCTTCACTTCTTGTGCACATAAACGCCAGTTGTAATAGCGAACATTGCTACTTGAAAAATGATAATTAAATATTTTTGTGATAAACTTTATTACCATGATAAGTCATACCTAATTTCGCCAATGAACCCATAGTGTGAGCTGAAAGGACGTCCGATATAAAGTGGACCGTCATTGAAAACAACTTTTTCCGTTTGAACGTTCTGGATGCCATAGAAACCGAACCATTCACCGTCAATGTAGATGTCTAATCTCTTTTCTGAATCGGAAAGCGTATAAGTCACATGATACCATTTGCCTAACAAAAGTCCGTCGCCGAGCTCATTAATTCCTAAATTATTATCCAATTTTCCTGTGAAACGAGCATGTAACGAGGATTTATTTGGTATCAACTCGAGCCTAGGCGTACGGATCATACCTTCAGTACCTATATATGTGTAATTTATTTGAGACCAAGGAAACAACATTCTAAGAAAGAAAAATTAGTCCTACCTTTGTGAAAAATAACGGCCCAATGGGAAGTATGACTCTGAAGTTTTAGACGCAATGTCACAGAAAGTTCATCCTTCACCACAGGCAAGTTATCATGTTCAAAGACTCTTTGAGAATCTTCATTAAAGAAAATAGGGTTTGAAATGATCTCTGCCCATTCTTTCTTCATTTTTAAAGAATTAATTAAATAATAGTATGTTTATTTCAAAAAGTTAAATTAATGCAATAGGAAATTAAAAAAAAAAAATAATAATAATTTGCTTGCTTATAAAATCACCTCAAACGGTAAGATCATCACAAAAAAATATCCCTTTTTATCTAAATTTGGCAGTTACCGTTACCTCACTTTCTACTGATACGCCCATTGCATTCGAAAGCCCTTGCTCTTCCTTCGGTCAATCACTCTAAACCCTATTTGATGAACATGATGACAAAACATTTGATTAGCTTTGTAAAAGCATTATCGGCTTATAAAATATTAATAAAAATAAAACAAAAACAAATTAATTTAAAGCAGTTTATATGGATAACAATGTTGATGAATTCATGTATCAACATGGGTCTATTTTTTATTATTTTTATCAAAGTAAGTTACATTTACATTTTCACACATTTTACAATTTTTATAATTTTCTTCAATAGCAGGTATTTCTAATAAAATAAAATATGACTGGACTAATGCTTATACAATAATGCTTATATTTTCCGAATCGCGTAATATATTATAAAATGATTTTTTTGAAAACTGATACGAGAAATGGAGTCATTTAATGAAATGTCTGAAAAAGGAAACTAAAAGAATATTTAAAAGAAATTGTAGAAGAACTACTTTTCGGGAAGATCGTTTCGGAAGTACACGTGTATTTCCATAGTTTCCATTTTGTATTTTTTAATGTTTTAATTTTTTTATTTCATTTTCTTTAAAATTATTCACTTTCGGCTTAGATAGCTTCGTATGTACGCGGTGTGTAAGATTTAATTTTTATAATTTTTAAATTCCGGTTTGATCGGGTCATATTGATCAAAATATTTTATTTTTTGATTTTATTTTTCGACATTCCGCAATATATTTTTCTTCAAATCTAATTTAAGCTTGACCAGTCCAATTTACAGAGCATACTATACAGGTTAAAATGTCGAAATAATATATTGTATCTATTATTTGAAAAAATGCGATTTGCGATTATATCAACATAAATTCTAAGGAAAACAATAATTTTTTTATAAGAAGTAACAGGTTGTCCTTATGTTTATTCTGAAGTCATTGAATCACATCACAAAGTCATAGATTTTATCGTAAAAAATGGAATAATTATACTTGCAAGTTCAGCACACCTCAGATAAGTATTAATATCAACCCTTGTACACTTATGATCACCTTTAATAAAAAAAGAACTCTGTGATATGACTCTGACTCATTTCATAAGACATATACATTTTGTAAAAAAAAATCTGTCTATTTATAAAAATCAGTTTATCATTGCTTTTTCGTAATTAAATCTAAAATTTTAACGTAAAAAGTTTTTGACTCAATGTTATGCAATTAGCAAGCAATTTGTTACTTTTTTTTCATCAAGTTTCTATCTCTGAAAATCTTAATTATTCATTACGCAATAAAGACTAAACCAACAAAAGCCCAACGTCTAACTTACGTAAAAGAAATATATTATGTCGTTACCGCGACTTGTTAACCTTGTTTGTAAGTAATAATAAAATTATATTTATTTATTTATTTATTTTTAAAAAATTGATTTGGCTATTATGAAGATAAAAATGAAAATAAATCAGTTCTTTAAATTTATAACGCTAATTATGCACCTGATATAGAAGTAGTAAATATTAATGATAATGTGATGTAATTTTAAATCAAATTTTTGGTAAATAAGAATAACGTTGAGCTAAATGAGAGTGAAATATATTTAAATGCTCCTCGGTTTGTACAAAACCAAGATATTTTTCTTTTATGTAATTAATGATTAATTGTATAGTTGATTAATTTATTATTCAAATATAGTTACATATAATAATTGTAACGAAAAATAATTTTATTGATTATTTTTAAAATTATAAAGTAATCATTTCATTAAAACAACAAGTGTTCCGGTAGAATGAGCTTTTCTGGCGGTGCATTCTAATAAGTCAAAAGAAATGGTCTTAAGGCAATGCATGTATGTGTTTGAAATCTGGGTGGAATAAAATATTAAAAATTAGTTCAAATTAGGAATAATATTCATCCAAAGAAAATAAATAAACTATTTTAGTTCGATCTGGATGTTGACAGAATTTTCAGTTGTAATAATAAGTCTTGGGATTAGACTTAAAAATTCTACAATTAAATTCTTATTTTACACTTTAACCTTTGTGTTTTCACATAGGTTTTTGAATTACACAAATACATTGTAAATTTAATATGAACGCGAACTACTTTTTTTCATCTACTAATTACTATCACATCCGCTTTATTCCTAAATTAAATTGTTATTTAATATAACAATCAGCACTATAAGTCTCTTAATTTATTATATCAACGTCGAATCTGACACATCCAACATTACTTTATATATTTAATTCATTGTATTGGAAAGTGAAACAAAATTATTTGGTAAGATGAATCAAATTTTCAATTATGGAAGTGAATTTTATTGGAAATGACCAGGTGAACACTTGAATAAGCCAACAGTTAAATTTGATGGTGGTAATATTTTAATTTGGGATGGATACATATGTCGAATTCATGATAAACTTAATGCCCAACTTTATATAGAAATTTTAAATATGAATAATATAATTTTTATAAATGATAATGATCCAAAACATAAAGCTAAACTTAATACAGCATGGATCGAAGAAATGATTTAATAGTTTTAGATTGGCCACACCTAGTCAGCCGATTTAAATCCCATTTACATTATTAGATAAATAATTTGTAATACATATTGATAAAAAATTCGATTTAAAAGATGTCAAAAAAAAAAAAAAAAAAATGCATCATGCAATATTAAAAGTTTTCGATTTATTATTAAAAATGAAGATTCAAAAAGTGCGACTCAGAGTCGGTTATGAAACTGATTTATATTCAACATACCTGAATTAATACAAAATCGAACCGGCTCAAAGTTAACTAAATTTTTTATTTAAAAAAAATAATTAATAATATAATAGAAAGTAAGTTATTTTTATTGATTATCAATATTTAACTATATTTATTATTGTATTTTAAATTTAATTAAATTATTTATTTAAATAATAATTAATAATTCATAATTTAGAATGTAAGTAATTTTTTATTAATTATCAATATTAATTATACATATTATTATAATTTAAAATCAACTAAATTATTTATTTATAAAAATATTAATATTTAATAATATAGATTGTAGGTTTTATTGATTATCAGTATTTAATTATACTTGTTATTATCATTATAATTTAAAATCAACTAAATATTTTATTTAAAAATAAATTTTAATATAATAGATGGTAAGTTATTTTATTGATTATTGATATTTTATTATACTTATTATAGTAATTTAAAGTTAATAAATTTTTATTTATAAAAATATATTTTAATATAATAGATGGTAAATTATTTTTATTAATTATTGATATGTAATTGTATTTATTATTATCATTAAAGTTGAGTAAATTTAAAAAAATAATTAATAATATAATAAATGGTAAATTATTTTTATTAATTATTAGTATTTAATTATACTTATTACTATAATTTAAAATCAACTAAATTTATTATTTAAAAAATAAATTTTATTAGGAAGTAAGTTATTTTTATTATTTATCAATATTTAATTATACTTGTTACTATATTAAAAGTTAATTAAATTTTTTATTTATAAAAATTTTATTAGTTGGTAAGTTATTTTTATTAATTAATAGTATTTAATTATATTTATTATTATCATTTAAAGTTGACTAAATTTTTATTTAAAAATAATTAATAATATAATAAATGGTAAGTTATTTTTATTAATTATTAATATTTAATTATAACTTATTATTGTAATTTAAAATTAACTAAATTTTTTATTTAAAATAATTAATAATTAATAATTTAGAATATAAGTTATTCTTATTGACTATTAATCTTTAATTATATTTATTACTATAATTTAAAATTAACTAAATTTTTTATTTATAAAAATAATTAATAATATAATAGATGATAATTTATTTTTATTAATTATATATATTAAATTATATATATTATAGTAATTTAAAGTTAACTAAATTTTTTATTTAAAAAAAAATTTTATAAGAAAGTAAGTTATTTTTATTGATTATTAGTATTTAATTATACTTATTATAATTAGAGGTTTTAATTAAATGAGTAAGATCAATGATTGATTGTTAAAATCAATTTGTCAATTACAGAATATTGCTATCGAACAAAATTAGACTAACTTTAATTGATTTTTAATCAATTAAATTTCTATGAATGATCAATTAACAATTATTATATTTAATCGATTATGTCATTATAATATAATATGGTATATAAATAAACAATAAACAAAACTAAATAATATCATTATTAAAAAAAAAAGAAAAAAAAAATTCTTTTTAAAGTTCAATGACATTCGTAAAGAAAGAAAAATTTTTTTATTTTTAAGATATAGCAACTGGTCTATTAACATTAAAGCTTTTCAAATAAAAAGTCATAATTGTAACATTATTCATTTTTTTCATCATAAAAATACATTTCAAAGTATCAGATTTTTTATTTATAATATTTAAATTTTTAAATATCGGATGATCATCACAACGTGTTTAATT